TTTGTTTGAACGCGCTAATCTCAGGAACTATTAATCCGATTTGAAAAATTCTTTTTGCGTTAGATAGCTGGTTTATTGAGGAAGGTTATAGGCTATATATATAATCAAGGAAAAATGACCGGTTCCCGTGGGATAGATTTATTTTTGTCTAGAGACGAACCCGAAGCGAAGCGAGGTTGAGTCGCTAGTTTAAGTATATAATAAAATCTTTATTTATGGAAGTCACACATAGGTACATATAAGTTTACAGAATCTTTTTTAAAGCTTAGAACGTAGATTTTTGTTTTTAGTAGGTTGAACGTAGTCATCTGCATGTAGGTAATAAAAATAATAACAATTAAGATATCTTAATAATTGTTGATACACCGTCAGTCTGCCTGTATGTGAATTTGATGAAAATTTTCCGAAACATAAAGCATAGAGTTAAATGCATAAAAATGTAAAATAATAGTAAATGGAATAAGTTACTGATGAAATAATAAAATCAAATTAGTTTAGATATTTTTATTAATTGGAATTGCAAAGCAAAGCCATGTATCTACTTCGATACGTATAAATAAATACATCACTAATTGATGTATAATAAATATTTTTACTATAATTGGAGTTCTTACCAAATCATATTTAACTATCTAATAAGCAATCAATATTTTAAAGCATTGTCGGCTGGCACCGACTTCGAAAATATATGGTTAGGTATCAGTGGTGAATGAAAACTCTCGTTCAGTTATTTTACACTTTTTTTTGAAGTTGGTTTAATTTTTTGCTTTTAGTACTAGATGTTATTATTTTTTAAGAGACATATTTAGCATACTATACATACGTAGGTACTTGCTAACTGCCTCGTTGGGCTACTGGTTACCATATACGGCTGTAATAGTGGGGACTTGCGTTTGAGTCCCGGGTAGAGCCAAAATGGTTACTGGAATTTTCTGTCACAAAATAGTCAATATCAGCTTAAATTTGGGACGAGGTTTTAGCTCCTGCTTCGGAAAGCACGTTAAACTGTCGATCCTGCATCTTATCTCACACTGATCGTGTCAAATTGTCACAACAGAATAAGACTTAAAAGTATAGAGAGTGCACTTATGTTTGCTCACTTACGGGCTATTTTATATGTATGTATGTCTACCATATGTATGGCTAGTCTCAGATAGGATGACCACTTAAGCCGAAATCGTTTAGGACGACAACATTCGTTATTTTAATTAGTTTCGTTACTTTGATGTAAAATTTGTTGTGAAATCTTCTTTAATAATTCATAATCCACACTAATATTATTTATTTTTTATTTTATTTATTTATTTCAGGCAATATTTACATAGGGATCTTAAATATGTAAACAGAGGCCCATAGCATATATACCTTAAAACTAACATATATATTAATTATAAAAAACTTAAAAACTATTTAACACGTAGTGCAGACGTGTAAGCTGTGTCGGCGGGCAAACGACCTCGGAACTTCCGAAACACGATTATAAATGCGAAAGGAATTCTTTCTGTCTGTCTGTTACCTTTTCACGATTAATCCACTGAACTGATTTAGACGGGATTTGGTATGGAGATAGTTTTGGACCCTGGGAAGGACATCGGATTTTTAGGAGGTTTTTACGCCGGAAATCATCCTTTAAAGGAGTGAAAAGGGGGGTGGGACTTTGCATGGGGAACCAATTATTTGTCAATAGATAGACTGACCATCATAAGGTAACTAGGGAAGAACCCGAGCGAAGCGAAGGTGAGTCGTTAGTACCTATATTAATAAATTATAATCAACGACGATTTTATTACACTTTCATAATAATATAAATCATTTATAATAAAATTATAACTCAGCCGAATCTGTACATTAAATATTTTGTGGAAAATCTTACTGAAATAGACATATCGATATAGAGACCGAATTTATAGTTTTCAGTATTTGTGTCTGTCTGTCTGTCTGTTACCGCATCTCATTTCTGAGAAAAAATACAAAAATTGCAATGTAAGAGTATACTAATATGTAAAACCTAAGAATTTGGTTATTGGTCATCTAAACGCGGGCGGAGCCGCGGGCAATGCTAGTTTTTTTTATATGAATTCAAACCCAGCACGTGACTTACTACTATATTTTCTTACAGGACCTGTATTTCAAGCTGCGGTGATCAATGGAAACGATGATTTTTATCGACGAAAACTATAATAATTATCTTCATGAAGAATACGAAAATTCACTGCGTAAAAGAATCGAACCTGAAATATTAGTCTCGAACGGCAGGGAATATACATAGTGCTACTGACCGTCTATATAATACAATGAAATTGAAATATATACCTACACAAAAATATCAAATATATAGATTTATAATCATTGTAATATCCTAAATGAATAAATAGCAATAAATAATACCTAATGGATTTTATTCCGTAGAACTTCTTATTATATGTAAATTTAAATATTTATAACTCTATGAATATATGTATATACTATATAATATTTTAACACTGAATATTAGAAAATACAAACAGATAAATTATTTATTATGATAAATCTTTATCTATACTAATTACTAATATTATAAAAAGTTTTTTTGTTTGTTTGTTTGTAATGGATGAACTAAACATGCGCTAAACCCATTTAGATTAAATTTGGTGCTAAGATAGTTTGAGACCCTCGAAAGGACAATTTTTATCCCGGAAGTCATCCCTTAAGGGGGGTGAAAAGGGGGATGAAAGTTTGTATGGGGAATCAATCATTTCTCGAGTAATAAGTAAGAGATATAAAACAATATTATATACTCGTAGTTTATCTATTCCATACTAACCGTTAATAATAAAAGATAAGAATCTAATAAGATATGAAATTGAAAGAATTTTGATAGACGAAATTAATTATAAAGAAAAAATAAGATTATAAAAATATATAAGGTTCTTTTGCTAAGACAAAATATCTTATCGTCGATGCTGATTTTAGTTATGCATGCTTAGGTTGTTACTAAGAAATATAATTTTCATTTTGATTTAAAAAAAATTGAGCCCACACTAATTAGGCGGCCCTGGCGTTACGATGATGCGTAGAGTGCGGTATTAAAAAGCTTATTTTAGCGGTACTAGCATTGCCCGCGGCTCCGCCCGCGTTCAGATGACCAAAAATCAAGTTCTTAGGTTTTACATATTAGTATACTCTTACATTGCAGTTTTTGTATTTTTTCTCAAAAAAGAGATATTTTTCCGAGGTAAAAAGTATCATATATGTTGACCCGGATAATCAGCTATGACCATACCAAATTTCATCAAAATCACTTTAGTGGTTTTTCTGTGATACGGTAACAGACAGATAGACAGACAAAAATTCTAAAAACTATAGATTCGGCCTGTGTATCGATAATGTTTATTTCAATAAGATTTTCAAAAAAATATTTAATGTACAGATTCGGCTTAGTTACAATTTTATTATAGTATAGATTATGTCAATAATTGTTAATGATTTACGATATTGTTAAAGACTTTTCTTTTTTGAAACTAATTATCGGATTACATCCATACTAATATTATAAATGTGAAAGTATTTGTTTGCTTGTCCTACTTTCACGTCGAAACGGAGTGACGGATTAGCGTGATTTTTTGTGTGGAGATAGTTGGAGGGCTGGAGAGTGACATAGGCTACTTTTTACCGCGGGAAATTATCTATTTCCCACGGGTCCCCAAGTTTCACAAATACAATCAATGTTCATTTCAGTTCAGTTGTTAAGTGCTAGGACACTTCTTAATACACTAAACTGTCTCTGGAAAAATGCAGATCATTATCATATTAAAAAATCACTGCATATAAATTAGCTTGATAGTTCTCGAGATTAGCGCGTTATACCTATACATACAGATACACAATCACCGGCAACTTCCTCTTATTCGAATATGTACACATATTTACAGGATTTTGTTTTATAATCGAGTCTGTCTTCATTGGCATTGGACCATGGGAGCTAGGAAATTGACTGTACCTACCTGAGTTAGTGTACACTTACGCACTATAATAGTTATATTATACATACAAGATGGCAATTCTTCGTGAGATTGGCTGCCGTGTCTAAATATCAATATCGATCTTTTATACATTTTTTTACATAATTTTCTAATTTTCTTGAGGTGTAGTTATCAAAAGAAAAAATACCTAAAAACAGCAGCCGTTCGTTAATTAGTAAAATATATAAAAAACTCAAAGGTGAATTTCATTTCTCATCAATTTTTTATTTAAACGTAAACTAAAAGAAAAATACAATAAAACAGACACAATATTTATCTTGACTTAGGATAACTTTTTTCATGAATGTCTCTTTGCTATTATAAATAATAAAAAAAAAACAAACCATATTACGACTTTTATGTTTCATAATTTTTGATTTAAGAACTTTTAAATGAACAAAATGATTTACTTTTACACAAAAGTTCTTGGTGACATTTTTAAAACTTTGTAAACCTGTTTTCATCTTAAAATATTACTAGAGAAATTTATTTAAATATAAATATAAAGGAGAACATAATTATATGAACCGTAATAAAACATTGATATTCGAGGAAATAATAACACATTTTTGAACAAAAATATTTATTGCAATAAACTAAATCACTGAATGAATAGAATATGCCTACCAGCACCTCTCTCTAAGCATACTCGAAGTAAGAAATTAGAAACTCGATACAACACAATTAGATCCTAATAAATATATTGATATCTAGATATTTACACTCGCTGTAATGGCAGCCTTAACTTAAACTACAATCACCTTGCATAGGAGAAAATCCCATAACTTTCTAAAACTCAATTCAAACCAAGATATTGCTTCTTTTAAATATCTTTATCTTCTATCACGACTAAGTATCCTCAAGCCTTAGCAAGTTCTTTTAAAATAAGTACCATCTACTTAATAGTTGATATCAGATGACTTTAGATTTTTTAACCTAAGTAAAATAAAAGCTGAATGTTATATCGAAAGCATAGAGGTATACAGTTAAGGGATACTAGTCTAAGTCGTCAGTTTCGGGGGAAGCTCTAGGAGCGAGTTTTACAGCAGATGCTGTACTCGAAACTGGAGGATCACTTTCGTTTGTTTCTACGCTCTCTTTTCGTCTACGGTCTAACGTCAAGCTATCGACCTTAGCATTATCTTTATGCATTATGTCATTGTTGGCTCCACTTGGCAAAGTTTTATCGGTATCGATAGTAGCAGAACTACTGCTACGAAGCTTTATATCATCTTCAGAGGTATTTCTTTTGATTTCTTCGATTTTAATAGCTTTCTCTGAATTAATAGATTTGTCTGTATTGCCTATTACTTCAACTGAAGTTGCTATTGCTCGTTCATCAGTTTGATTCCCTGTAGTGGTGCTATTTGGTACAGAATCTTGTGTAGTTATTCTAGAGGATATTACATCACCTGTATGAGTAGTATTTGTTTGAGCTGTTGATACAGACGGCGATGTCTGTGTAGTGGATTGCACCGTATTTTGAACGGTTTGTGTTGTAGATTGAGTAGTTGGAGGAGTAGCTTGAGTGCCAGTACCGGGTGCGTCGTGATACGCGGCCCCACTGGCTAAAGCTGCAATACCTGCTAATCCCATCATTCCCCCCATACCGTGGTGAGTTCTTAGGAGAAGCTGTTGCAATTGTGCCTGCTGTAGTATTACGGGCAGTTCGTAGTGATGGAAGAAGTACAACATGGAATGCTGGAACAAAATAAATAATTGTTATTTATAATATTGATTTATATTGCGACTGATTAATGACTTAAGGCAAGAATAACATGGGAAAGTTGTGATTAGTCTCATCATTTCAAAAGAAAAAATCTCATAAAATTACAAAGTATGAGAAGTTTCAAATTTTTTTTGTCGCGGAATAAGACAAAAACCTTATTCCAAAAGTTATTTAAAAAGTTACGTATGTTTGATTCCAGAACACAGGTCATCTATATACAAAATTTGACTAAAATCGTTTTAGTGTAGCCAGCTACTAGATAGCTCACAAAAAAATGCTGTACAAAAATAAACTTCAATAAAAACAAAGAGAGAAAGTAAAGATAATTTCGCAATGGATACTGTGTGTACTACAGATGTTTGTGGCGCATTATGAGACACGTCTGTCGAAGCTAACTCCCTTAGACAAATAAATGAGCGATTCGTGACAGTACCACGAATGGTCTGCGTTATTTATTTATTTCTGGGTCAGAGTTCCCTTTCCTTCGCGACACCCGACGTAAGTTTTAATTAAGAAACTTGTGACTGCTCCGACTCAACTTTTATTTGAAATTATATTTTCTCAACCCTCGTTTTGATTTTTTTTTTTGAATTATGAGCTAATGTAACGGGTTGCCTGTCTTCATGACATTTTCATGATTTATTGATAAGAATGAATTAAAAAAAATATACTTATAAATAAATTAAAAAACTCGTACCAATTTATATTTAATTAATAACATTAATGAAAACGTTAATATGAGATATCAACTATACATATACATATATGTGTAATGTGTATGTTAAATTAACATAACATTTTTATACACAGTCCAGCACATGATTCCGAGCTCCAAAATCGGATGTTGCATGGCATTAATTAACACGCGACCTCCGAAATCTGTTCGATGATCATCGCTACGGCAAACAAAAAAAAAAGGATCAAACGTTTGAATGGTATTTAATGGAGAGATGGCTCCCTTTTTATACATCCATTAATAGCGCTTTGAGATTTACCTTTACCCTATTTGATTGAAAGGAACATGAATAAAAAACGAGGTCTTTATCAATTTTTAGATAATTTTTAACAAAATACCACGGCTTTATGTTCTATTATCCAACGTTAGTATACAAAAATATATTTTTTTTTGTATAGAACGTAAGAAACCTTTATGTTAACCTCCATAAGTACCCAAACGTTCAACTGCGATTAAAGACCGGTTAAACACCACGAGAGTGTAATTTGAAAGTCTCATGCAACTGTATTCGTAAGACACTTACAGAAAAAGACTGTAGACAACTTGAGAGGCGACTAAACTTTTCAAACGAAAGTAAGACCTCTTTGTAATCATAAATTTTTTGCCACAAAATTGTCTTAAACTCTTTACGGGCGGCGCTTTGATTATGCCAGGACGGTAGAAAATTCTGACGAAAATTAAGTTATTTTGATTTAAAATGTAAAGAAAAAACAAAATGACAACGCGCTGAGCGTTCTAAGGACGCCAGATATTTTCCTGAAAAAATACTTTTCTTTTAAATAATCCTTATATAGACGAATAATGTTTACGCATTATCAGATGTACCTATCAGATTATCAGAACGCCTTTCAAGTGTTATAACAATAAAATCTGTTATAAATATAGCTTACGCTGCTTTATATATATATATATATATATACATATGTATATATATATATATATATATATATATATATATATATATAATAATGTAGTATTTTAATGAAAAACATATTTTCTAGCAAATACTAATATTTTTTTAATATTAATATTTTCATAGAAGATAAATTATAAAAGATAAATAAAATACACAAAAAGTGATAGTGTAGGGCAAGCCGTAGTTCACGTAACTATACATATATCTACGATTAGAAAGAGATCTACAAGATTACGCCACTATGCTGCACTTTCTTCACAGGATCCATGTTTATTTAGGACATCCTTAAAATTACCTGAGCCGTCCCTTAAAGTCATGTAATTACAGCGCAATTTTCTCGTTCCAGGTGATTTATTATCATCGAACAATAATAAAAAAAATTTAAGATAAAAATTTACATCATATTAATATAAACACGAAAGTATCGCTGAGGTTGGTTTATTCTTTCTAGATGAAGCAGCAGCTCGTCGTGTTTTAGAAATAGATGTACATAGTTTATGAACCTGAGGTAAATAAGAGTGTTTTAGTTAGATGTCAACTTGTTCCGGATTTAAAATTAATATAGCGAGCTTTGAATGTATGCGCGCCGTATCTTTAGAGCGGGCGAGCTCAGTAATATGATTTTTATTAATAAGTTGACACGCTCGATGATTATAAGATAAGCCCCACTTTGCATTCCGTAGAGCCTCCTTGTTTTTCGACGTCCCCCGCTTTGTAATCTGACAGAGTATGCCTTTCCCCTTCGCAAAACGTATTGCAAAATGTTACTTAGATTATTTTACTGATACGCACATAGCTATGTCTGAGAAAAATATAATTTAATCAATATCATGTTTTAATTTTTGTGACATTAAAAAAGCAACTCCACTAAGAGACAAGAACGTCGATAGGACTTTAAGCTTAACTTTTACTATATTAAAACTATGATTTTGAAAAAGCTTACATTCAAGCATAATGTAATAATCTCATAAAATAGATAATAAATAAATAAGAATATTACACACTAATTTAATTTGCGAATAATTTATAAACTTTTATGTTTAAAATTCCCAGAATACTAGAACTTTGAAGCAGAGACGCTGAGACACGTTGATTTAAAACAGTGAAAATTTTGAATAGTGATAGTAAAGGTTGTATTCGTTTATTAAAATAGCTTTCTAAACTGAATACAATATCTGTCAGGGACCGACCGGGCCGTTCGTGGCGTGTTATTAGTTCCGCCCCGGAAATCGACCCCCGACTACTTCCTGCACGCAGTGAGACCCACTTCCCCGCTCCATGTTTATACAATTGTTTCTTATAAACGATAATTGTTTCCTGCTTATAACGATACAATATTGTGACAAGTTGTGCGATATTAAAAGCCTTTTCGATATACATAGTAAGTGGGAGTCAATAGCACGTGGACTTGAATTATCTCGAAATAAAATAAATATAAATTAATATAACCACTTTATAATATCGGATGAATTTAGTTAAATTATGAAATTCATTGTTACTTTCGATTTATTAATATTTTTTAATTTATTTTTGACAACTACTGTTTTATCTCCCAGCTCTACATATATAAGCAATTGCAGAAATTATTTTTATGACTAAAAATGTAAACTCGGTTTTTAATTCACATAGAAAAAAAATATAATTTTCTTCCTCAAATTTACGTCGGTGCTACGCAGATATTCGTAAGGTGACGTGCGTCAAGAGTGCTAAGTCATAATAACGTATGGGGACGTGATTTGTTGACAAATGCTCGGGGCCGACGCTCTTCGGATAAGAGGCTTTCTCCTTTAGTTTAAAAATAATAACCACGAGGTAGATATATCGTACTTGTGTGCGCAAAATCTCAACTCCATGATCCCTTCAGCGACCCCGTGACCCGTCTCATTGTTGCTCTGTCAGCACTATCTTATTTAATATGTCGTTCTTTTATATGGCAAATAAGTCTCTTTTCTACCTACTTAAGATTAAATGTCAGCTATAATAATTTCGCACTGAAAGTAATGACATTACAATTTTAGTTCTATTGAAGCATCTAACTAGACAAACTAAACATGATATTTAAGATAAAATTACTAGTTTGCCTGTGGCTTAGTGTATGAGTAGTTATTCAGTAGTCAGAACATGATCACTAAGCTGCTTTTTGTGGGAGCACGTAGATTGGGGAACTAAAGTAAGTTTCTGGACAACTTATCGAGCTATTCAAATAAAACTGAAGCTACGAGTACTTTTAGTTTAGTCTATGCAAAATAAGAAAATGACGATGAAGATGTGCCATTAAACGTAAAGTGAAAAACATTTCTTAAACTATTGATTTATCTTATACTAGCATTGCCCGCGGCTCCGCCCGCGTTCAGGTGACCAAAAACCAAATTCTTAGGTTTTACATATTAGTATACTCTTACATTACAGTTTTTGTATTTTTTCTCAGAAATAAGATATTTTCCCACGGTAAAAGGTATCCTATATGTTAACCTGGATAACCAGCTATCATCATATCAAATTTCATCAAAATCTGTCCAGTGGTTTTCTCGTGATGCGGTAACAGACAGACAGACAGACGGACGGACAGACAGACGGACAGACAGACAGACAAAAATTCTAAAAACTAAACATTCGGACTCTGTATCGATAATAATGTCTATTTCAATTAGATTTTCCAAAAAATATTTAATGTACAGATTCGACTTAGTTACAATTTTATAATATGTATAGATTACACCTCAAACAACAATTTCAATTTAAATATAAAAACAACTAACGTTTAAAGCAATAAAATTTATATTGCATGCAGGTGCATGCGTCGAATAGAATCGGAACTTGCAGAGTAAGTGGTATTAAAAGAGGAGTTATCATTTTGTTTTTCAGATGGTATTAATAAGCGCTTCCCGGTGGCAAGCTAATATCGAGTTGTACAAACAGTTTGTCCAGCAGGACAGCGTGGCCCGCGGCGGCTGACCGACATCAAAGTGGACTGCGCAAACATGGAACTAGGATGACGTGAACGGAGTGTGTTGTAATGAATCCACGTTCACAATTTTTAGAGTTATTACAAATAAAAAAAAAACAAATTTTCTTAATATAATATTTAAAAATATCTTTATAACTGTTGCCCTAATTTTTTTTCTGTGAGTATTTATCAAAAATATATTACCTGTATGAAGAGCCACGATGTGACGAGAGCAAGGCTGCTGTATTGACCATTGAAGCGGTAATGATAGGCATAGAACGAGAAGTGGTATAAGTAGAAAAACCTGTTGACAATAAGAAATAAAATATAAGTAAACTAAAATAAAACAGTAATTTCTGACAGTGAAATAAAATTAAACATTTTCTCTAAATAAGTATATCAAAGCTAATTACGTAAATACTATTCCCTCACGGAGTTTGCTACTGATTAATGTCAAAATCTCAAAAACTGCTATTAGACCAGGGTCGATAATTTTTGAAACCAAAAAAAATCATGGTAGGATGAAACCCATTAGAAAAGGAGGGGAATATTATAAAAATGAAAGGAAAAATAATTTACAGGCGATCTGAGGTCGGGAAGGGGATGGGGGTGAGTTTTTAAGGGTAAAAAACGGTTTTTCTCGATTTCCGGCAAAACTAAAAGTCCTATCGAAAAAAGTCAAATGGAAAAGTTGTAGGTAATAAAAAGATCTAAAACCTTTGTATTTACACTTTTTTCACATAACCTCAAAATTTATGTGAAAAATTCAAAAAACCAAATTTTTGGTTTTTTATTTTTATCTTTTACAAAAAAAAATTTTTTTAACGAAATTTGGTGAAAACTTGCCTTTTTATGTCCCAAATACGCTGTAATTTATTTGATTACAAATATTTATTTTTTCACCTTATTTTGAATTAATATCGAAAAAACACCCTAATTTTCAATCGAAAATTCACCCGTCAAAATATCAGCTTTTTTCAAGTACAAATAAATACACAAGAGACAATGCCACAGAAAATCATTGGCAAGCCAGTATACCCAGTTTATATAACGACTGAGATATAAATACTGAGTTTCTGGAAGCAACAAGTACCGCATGCTGCTGTTCGATGAACAAAATATTCAATCAATTTCACACGTAACTTTAACAAAATTAGGATAATTAAATACTATAACTTATGTGATTAAATTATACCCTGATATAGTTTTATAAATTAATAATTAAACAAATAATTATAAATGTACTTCTTTAGGTACCTAAGTATTATTGTTTCGTAAAACTTTACATTGATTTTTTTTATTTATTTACTTAATAAACACATTAACTATTTAAAGTATACTTTAAAGTTTAAACAATAAAAATTAAATAGACCATTTCAGTATTTTTTTAATGAATTAACTATTTGGCATATAGCTACGAGCATAATATTATGTATAACAATATTTTATGTATGTATAGCGGTATTTTATGCATTTTACGTCACCATTTTATTTTTATTATAATATAAATAACTTTAAAGAATCCGACGAGCAAGTTATGCCATAAAGCAGACGTATCTCGTTACTAGGAGCAACAAGTATCGGCGACCGCGGGGTGGACATCAGAACATATTGAACCAACCACCCCTTCGCCTTCATCATGGCGATATTTCTAAACACTGCTAAGCTTGTATTAGAATATTATTTTTCTTCCATATCTATGCTTTTTTTTATTAAATCGTGTAGATATTATATTTGATATTTACTATATTTAAACAAAGAATTCTAGTATTAAATGTTTCTGTAATGAAGACAATCTTAAAGAAGCATTAAGGTGAACAAGTTAAAATCAGTCCGAAAAAATTGCCTTTTACATTCCGTGCATTCATTGGTTTATTGTTCGCGGACTAATTCTTTTTTAAATATGTATTTGCTTAAAATAAATAAATAACGATAATTATTTTAATACATAGGTATTATATAGGTACTCTATGTTATCCCAATTTATGAAAACAAATATTATAGGTTGGTATAGTGTATGAGCAATCATCGCAAGGCCAATTCTTGCTTTCTACGAATCACAACCATTAGCTTCGTTATCTCCTTATTTCGGTGTATAAATTCTCAATGTACAACGCGTCGAGTCCCGGAAAAGGGGGAAACGTCACCTCGTTATCTGAAAAGGTTGCAATTTTATTTGAAATCGATATTCACTGAGATACACATTTCTCTTCATGATGCGAGTGTAAAAGGATGCTCTTTTGTGGGGGGCTCTTTGTCGGTGAAAATGTCTTGTACTCGTTAGGAAGGCGTCATTTCTTTATGAATTATAGACGCCAATCGTTAATAGCTTATGATATATGATGTAATATTTCATATTAGACACGAATAATATTTTATTTGGATTTTTGGTTCCCGACGTTTTGAATGCTTTACAGCATTCATGGTCACGGGAGAGACTGAGGTGTTGCATGTCTCGAAGGTATAGTTGTTACAGACAGCCTACAAACAAATAACAAAATGAAAATTGCACCAATTACCGTACAATATTTTTGAACTTTTAACATTTTTATAATTTTAATTAGTTTTATAATTGAATATGGAATATTATTTATTTGATTTTTGCTGTTATTCTTATAATTATTACAATTTTAAAAATATTAATTAGTAATCTATATTTAGGGTTGCCATTATTATATTTATAACCATAAAGAAAAATATAAAATATAGTATTAATTATTTAAGCCATCTATATTCTATGTGTAATTTAAAAAGTTAAAATTAATTAAGTATAATAGTTATAATTTAGTTTGCTATTACTTAAAAAGACAAACTACTAAGCAACACTATTACTATATACTTTTACAAATGATTTATAATTATGTATGTACATATATAAAAACATGAGTACTTCTTCGTTTAAATACAAAAACAAAGCAGGTTAATTATAATTAAGCCGCGCACGTACAGAGGTGACGCGGTGAACAAATGTACGTATTTGAATGTTAACATCAGCACCGAGCTCACAAGAGTCTCTAATTAGTTCGAGATTAATCCGCGTATCCTCACCGGTGTAATGCCATATAAACATGTCGCGATGAGCGTAGATGCGTCTGTCTCAATATGAGTTATATTGTCAATCAAATATGCGATTGTGTCATGTTCGTATTGTCAAAGATTTAATAACTAACTTATAATTATTTTTAGATTTATGATTTTAACTTAGAAATAATATAAATATGATAAAAAAATGTACTAGTACTGTCTAACGAGCAACGGTTGGAAAATGTAACATAAAAAAGTAACCTGCTATTTCCGGTTAAACACATTTTGAGAAAATTTATATTTTTCTAAAACTTCAATAAGAAAATGAACAAAAGATGAAACGAGGTGCTAACGTATTCTAAGAGATTATTTGTACAGCATTTGAAGAGATAAAAAGACCACTGAATTAAATAGTCTTAAGCAACAGTTCACGGACAGATCGTTTCCGGAATAATTTAAGAGTGCGAGCGAGGGGTACCAGAGGTGATTTTGTCCTTCTAAGCGGCTTCCGAGGCGTTGGGCCTTTAAGACATCAAACGAACACTACCTACCTACACATTAAACATACATGGCAGAAAAAAGAAAGCGCTGTTTTCTTAATGTTATTTTGCTCGTAAATATTTGATAGGGTGCCCTTTTAATGTAAGAAATATCACATGCTGAGGAACATTTGGCTATTGTGACTATTGAATCGCACCTAACTAGGTTTGGGGATAAGCGTTAAATTTATTTTAGAAAATTTTCAGAATGAATTGAAATAACCATAATATACAATAACCATTAAATTATATAGGTATAAATATATTCATAAATATATAAGTTAATTACTTGACTACCAAGAAGTATAATATAAATATCTGATTTTTTATCCTGCGCTTTTGCCACGAGCGATGATAAAAAGGAATATAGATAAGACGTGGTAGCGAAAGTCCTATAAAATATCAAAAGTCGAATGCCCATTTACAATTTCCCTTATTACATCAAAATTATTCAGAAGCGAGCGAGAGGGACGAAACTGAATCTTGTTGAACTAACTCAGTGCGAAATCACTTTCGCCTCGGCCTTTGATCTCCAGTGCGCCAAAGGAATGTTATTCAGTAAAAACATGCAAATTCGATAAAGTATAACACAATATTACGGCTCAGCTGCCGTCGCGACGATCCACAATGCTGGGAGCATCCGAGGACACTTTGAATATCATTTGTCCAATACCGGAACACCGCTAACATGCGACAGCATGTTTTAATACTCTTTATTGTACGTAAGATGTGCAAATGAATATATTTTTTAATCTAGATCGCTTTCTTTCTATATTTACTTATTTGTCTATTAAAGAATTTTTATAATTGCGTCTGTCAACACAGCTCTAAACCATAAAGAGAAAAAAAAAGAATAGACATAAAACATAACCGACTTTCTTTTCTTTGCTTTAATACTCAATGATACTCTCGAATCAATGTAGAAGGTGAGGTAAAAACTTTGTTTTTTTTTTACCATATTTAAATTTAAGTCAATTTAATATTTCAAGAACAAACAACAGCAATAAAATTAACACGAGTAATAGCAAAATTTAAGCAATAATAATATCAAACTATAACCAATAAGTATTTTAAATAGGCAGTGGTAGCCCAGTGGTAACGCGCTCGCTTGGGAAACCCAATGAAGTGAGTTCAAATCCCGGGTCTCGCACCTGTGATATTTTCATGTGCGAATCATTTCCAACATGATTACCAGTTGTCTTAACGGTGAAGGAAAACATCGTGAGGAAACCTGCATGTCTGAGAGAACCTAGCAAGTTTACAAAAGACATGTGAAGTCCGCCAACCTGCACTTGGCCAGCGTGGTGGACTATGGCCTGATTTCCCACGTGCTGAAGGGAGGCCCGTGCCCAGCAGTGGGACGTTAAAAAGGGCTGAATACATACATTTTAAATAGTAATCCTTTATAAGTAAGATTTATTATAATATTAATATTAGTTATAATAAATACAGGCATCTTGCAGGGAAAAGCCTTTACATGCATGTTTTCATATAACATCAGAAAATGATACTTACTATACGTAGAATGAAAAACATATTCCTTGAACCTGTCAACAAACCCGTTTCACATTTTACGTGATATTTTCTTTTGTGAATATTTCATAACTCTCAACTCTACTTATAATGGATTTGGAGGAATTGGATTTGTTGCCAAATTAAGTTACACTGAACCTCTTAAAGCAAATTGCGTTTTCAAAACATTTATTATCATACTCAATCATTCTTCATTTGGAAATAAGAA